TGATGGAGTTCATGGAGAAATCAAACAAAAATATTCTTAGTTGGTCAATTTAGAACCAAAGTCTACCCAAAGTAAATGCTATAATGCATGCGAATTCTGCGCGATTACCAATCGCTACAATATTTTGACGACACAGCAAAGTTTGAAGTGGGGAGCGTCTATCATTGCTTATATGCTTATTTTTAAATGTGGACTTATGTCCAACTGTATGTGAACGCACTAAAATGCTTGATTGGACATTCCGTTGATTTATCTTAGTCGCAGCAAATTCAGCAGTTACCTTACTTCCCCAACATAAGCATCCTATTGTGGCAAGCCCGGAGCATGTAAGTGTCTGGCCCGGTTGTTTATACAGATTTAGTATGATGAGTCAGCTTCTGGCATGTCGACGGTCTAGACATGTGGAATGGACGAAATGACAATGTGAAATGACAAATATCCATAGACGCGTGCATGGCGTTACATCCCGAGCGAAGACTTCTTTCGTCACCATCACATGTTGGATATATTTCAATACACTTGACAAGCGCTTTCATATTGCAACAAAGCAAATGTGGAAGCGGAGCGCACCCTGCGTGTTTGATACTATCTCGTCATCTCAACGTCTGCGTCCTCTTCTGCGCTCAGGATTATGCCGCCGCTTCCTCAAGAAAAGGCAATAGTCGTCGAATCGCGTCTATTCAAAAACAGCATTATAAACAAACGCAGGGAGGAGCAATTTAGCTGTCGCGTTTTTTGTAGGCATCGGGAGTTTATTATAAAAAAGGATATGATGATCGTACAAACTAAACTCTTTCGAATTTTGTATTATATTTCCACTCAGTAGACAGTCGCTATGTTTTTTTTTTTTGAAGTAAAGGATTTTTTGCTTTGGAGCACACTATCATTCTTTGTATCATCTAAAAAATCGCATGTTTTTCGATCTATCAACTTCGCAACCGGATAGTCGCAACCTCTATACTCAGACGACTTTTCATGATGATTAGCTCCTCCGAGATACGCTGCTGAAGTTTGTATGCTTTCGAAGAGAACTCACTCCTGCAGGAATAGCATATTGAAACATTCCGTTTCTAGTATGCGAAAACAATATTATAAGCAGGGTCAAGCGTGGAGTGCGGCACGCCACACCTGGGGGGTCGTATTGAGGAGTCAAAAGGGGAGGCGTAGTTGGGTAATCTGATAATAGTGATAACATGATGTTTGTATCATATCCATAATTAGCATGTCAAATAACCCCTGTAGACAAAGTGTGAGCGAATTCTGAAGATTCAAGATACTAGGCTACCTAAGGCCCTGGGCAGAGCTCACGCGACGAAGTCGCGCGATCTCCAGTCGCGACGACTTGCACGAAAGTGGCGACTGGGACGCTACGACTGAGTCGCTCATTCGCCGGAGGCGTGCATAACTCCGACGCGATTTCATGCAATTGCACAACACTTCACACATTGCACGTACTCTAATTCATTACTGAAAATCAGTGCTCCTTTGACTTTACTACATCACTGTCATTTAAAAAAGGTGTAGCAGTAGACAAAGGAAGTTTGAAAGTTCATCACATTAGTATCCGACTTGATAACAATCACAATGATATGCACCCAAATGATCAATAATAGAAGGAGAAGTCAACGAAATCGTGGTTCTGGTGAATGGCTCATAATCAAATGATGTTGGAAAGCATCAGTTACGAATAGGGAAGAAGTACCAGCAAGGTCCAGTGGCTGCGGACATTCCGAAAGAACCGTTACGCGGCAAAACGATGTTTTTGGCTCTAGAAACGTCCCCCATGTGCTGCACATGATAGGCGGAAATACTGTCATTACCTCATGGAAAGCTCATAGTTCGGAGTTTGTTGCATACCATCGTCAACGTATAGTGTGAGCACATTCTTTAAGTATTCGATGCGCAATCGAACAGAGTAGGGCTTGTAACGGATCTTTTTGGCAGCCTAGGATACATGAGATGTAGGAAATGTAGATGAAAGACATAGAAAAATGCAAAATGACGACTAGCTACCTTCATCAAACAATGCAAGGATGGGCATAATTTATCATTTGCAACATTTCATGCGAAAACACTCATAACCCCCAAAAAACAGCAACTTAAAACAACAACATCGAAAATGCAGTTCAGGATCGGCGCGACGGTCGCCCCGTCGCTCGCCGCAAACGAGCGACGCGACATCGCGCCGATTCGGCAAAATCGCGACGATATCGCCAGGTGAGCTATGAACGCCGAAAAGTGTGGCGCGATCCGTCGCGCCGCGCAGCCATCACAAACGCGTCGGGACCCACACACTACATAGCGGGGCATGGAACACTTGTCCAAAATGATCGGGCGCGACGCGACGAAATCGCATGAGCTCTGCCCAGGGCCTAAGTGAAATGGTCAAATTTCAACATGGTTAACATTGTTTCAAAGGTGAATTAGCTACCCGTTTTTGCACTAAAGACGAAGCACTACTCCTTCTTTGTCCACCTCAGAAATCCGCTTCAAAAGACCTCCAAACTGTGGAATTAGAAGCCAACCAAAATTTTTTCGCTTTTAATGGCTGTGCTTTCACCAAATATCACTCAGAGCAAAGAAAACGAATCAAGCTCAAATCGCTCCTGTGAAAACTAGGAGATCTAGGCTCCGATTCATATGAATAATATTCGCTAAAAATGTTTTTTGATATAGTTAATGGGGTGCGGCACACCCCCTTAAAAGCTGCGGCGGCCGCAGCTTTTAAGGGGGTGTGCCGCACCCCATTAACTATATCAAAAAAACATTTTTAGCAGACAGTACTTACATAAATCGATAGCCTAAACCTTGTAGATTCCACAGGATTGTTTGGAGCCTGATTCGTTTTCTTAGCTCTGAGTGATATTTGGTGAAAGCACAGCCATTAAAAGCGAAAAATGGGAAAAATGAGATTTTGGTTGGCTTCTAATTCCACAGTTTGGGGGTGTTTTGAAGCGGGATTTCTGGAGTGGACAAAGAAGGAGTAGTGCTTTGTATTGAGTGCAAAAACGGATAGCTAATTCACCTTTAAAACAAAATTTTCCATGTTGGAATTTGACCATTTCACTTAGGTAGCCTAGTATCTTGAATCTTCAGAATTCGCACACACTTTGTCTACAGGGGTTATTTGACATGCTAATTATGGATATTTTGCCCATTATGTTTGACAGGGCCTTCAAGTAATACTATCTTAAGTGTATAGGTCAGGGGGGAGTCTTATTAAGACAGCAATAAGGGGGGGGGTCGTAACCAGCGATCGTGTGCCACACCCCTTGCTTGACCCTGATTATAAGCTTTATTTTATTTGAAAAAAATTTTTGCGGGTAACAATTCAACGCCCAAACCTTTCGGCCACTCCGCATAGTGAGTGAGGTATTGTAGAGATTTGATACTGCATACACCGGTAGTTTTTGACAACTATAGAGTAAAAAAGTAATGTTCTAAATTGGAAGTTCACCTAATTTTCTAACGTATTCAAATGCATCACCTGTCTGCGGTTCCGTGTGCTATGCGCCTGGAAGTCGCATAATAGGAGCACCTTTGTTTTGTGCAAACGATAGCACTAAGCTTTTTTCTTTTGCAATGAGGAAGACCAATTGCCTCGTGCAGCGTTGATAGGTGGTCTTAGGCCTCGGGCAGAGTTCACGCGATTTGATCGTCGCTATTCAATCGCTACAAGATAAGTGTTACGAGTTCATTGCATGCCGATCTTCATGTATTTCGGTTGTGACAGTAGGTCACGATTAATCGTGTTGGAAAACTATCACAACCGAAATGCAAGAAAATCGGCATGCAATGAACTCGCAACACTTGTCCTGTAACGATTGAATCTGACGATCAAATCGCGTGAACTTTGCCCGAGGCCTTAGGAGGGAGAATAAAAGAAAAAGCAGGTGACAGAGTGAAAGGCGGTAGACCGTCAAATGTAAGTAACTTCTTGCCTGATAAACGAAAAAGTTGAATTTCTTGTCAAGAATACAAAAGTATTTTCAAACAACATAGAGCACTTTTTCGTATCCTGCCTGCCGCTATTGTAAGATCATAATTTTGACACGTTGTTTGAAACCTCAATCCCTCGATTACCAACCAAATTCAATGACTTTACCAGTTTTGGCTTGTACGCCCTAACTTGTCAAAATTTGAGACAATACGAATCCCCTTCAGCCGTGTAGATTAGAGACTGTCACCACTAACCCAATTTACTTCGATATTTTATTTATGGCAACTAATAGGAAGAGTAAAATTGGCACCTCAACTTCCCCATAACACCATTTGTCTCTTTCCAATCTGTCGCCTCAACTAAAAGAGCATGGCCAGAATCAAAGTGGCTACTCCAAACAAGCTGCATAACATTAGATGCGGGATGCGGCATAAAACGCTGACTCTAAATTTGTCTTCTATATCTGTTGAACACTTTTATGGAGGGGCCAAGGCCATTATTTTTGCTAAAAAATCGTGCACATAAAGGGCAAATTTGGCCTAAAACAAGCAGCTAGCTTATAACATACAGCCCATATCTAAAAGTGAAAAAAGGCAATATTGATTCCAATTCTGCAGTCTTTATATACGATTTTTTCGCATTAAAACTGCTCACAACTTCGCCTACAAATGCGTTCGGCAGACACGAAAAGATCTGAAGTCAGCGTTCTATGCGGCATCAGGCTTGCAGCTTGTCTAGAATGGCCACTTTGAAATCTGACCATTCCTTTGGAAGCTTTCTTTTTCATTATTCATCTTTATTATGATGACGCATCTTCATTAAAGCTGTAGACAAACTGATAGTATAATATGTTCACGAATTCAATGTACTTTTCAAGGAGCAAGTTTTTCATTGCGCAAGAGGACGTTTTGCGGTTTAGGTGGTGAAGCCGAGAACTCTCATGTAAGTGGAGTAAACCTCTTGTAAGCAAATACGTCATTATATAGAGGAATTGAGAGTTATGTGCGCCTATTTTTGTATCCCCTTGCTTGAAATACTTGAATAACGGAACTGCGCTTACTTTAAAAATTGCTGGATTGGCTAAAATTGTTGACACGCAAGTGATTCGAGCCACTAGATAGTAGACAGCCTGCTTTCTCGACGAATGAACAAATGATCCACCCTCTGAATTACCGAATGGTGAGAAAGTTGTTTTCTAGGAAGTTTGCTTGTTCAAAAACAAGTTAAAGTTTTTGACTTGTCTTTGGCGAATGATCGGGCATTTTGTGATGCATTAATAATCTTACAAGTCAAGTCTAGTCTTGATTATAAGTGGTAAGTTTGTCTGCAACTCGCTCCAGGGAATGACGGACAGACATACACACACTCACACACGCACAAAAAGACGCTCAGCGCTTTACTACGATTAAATTCGGCGGCGTGCTATTTCAAAATGTTATCAGAATTGATTTCAGAAATGTTGATTTCAACTGTATTCGTTATCGCACATCAAATTCCCAAAAAGATAGAGCACCCGTCAAAGCAAGCGTAAAACGATAATATCCCATTTTTGTGTAGTACTTTACCACAGTTGCGACTAGACCGTTTGCGAACCTTTGCGAAGCAGAGACAGGTTTTATAATCAAGACTGAACGTTGTTTTTTGCGCGTGTGGTGTGTGTCTGTCTGTCTGTCTGTCACACAGAGCGAGTTGCTGATAAGTTCATAAGCCATATTTTTGCATAACTTTCCCTACCAAAATGCCGCGTACTGAAGGATCCACATGCAGAAGAGGGAGCTGGTCCGATAAGCGGTCCTTAAAGGCAGCGTACACCCAAAATCTAAGTGACCTAATTTTCTAGATCTTTCTATACTGTGTATATACTGGGCCCAGAAGAAGACCAACTGCGTTGGTCCGGTCTCCCAATGTTGCTTCTGAGCGGAGAAAACTCCCCTCAATTTTCTTTCACTCCGCCCCTTTTCTTTCATTCCTCCTCCGGACGAATCCACGACAGCGTAAGCTGCAGTAACTGCTGTTGCATCTGCAACTGCAGTTGCAACAGTGCAGTTGCTTTTTGCGGTGCGCCTCCTTCGAACGACGAACCACGACAGCATATGTAGCGGTTGCAGTTGTGACTGTAGGCTGTCATGCTGTTGCAGTTGCTGGCATGCCGACGGGGCCGAGCAGTTGGGAACTCGTCCTCCCTTTGAAGAGAGGGTACCCGAAAATCGGGGTTTTTGGGACTTTTAGAGGATTTCAATGTCATAACTGTAATTAATCAGCGGCACGGAAAGGCCCCAATGACAAAAACATCGAAGGTTTTCGGATGTACGCTGCCTTTAAGAAAAATGCGCATTAAATGGTCTACAGAGTCTCCAGTTGCAAAAAGTGGGTCATTATTTGTAACTTTCCTCAGAGTCACGAATTCGAATCAAGCCATTACCAATCCGAAAGCAATAAAAATCGTTTTCTGCTAAAAATGGCACCAAAAAGAAATAACTGCTTAGATCGTCATTTTTCACGGTATTACTCAAGAAAAAAATTTGCCAAAGTTGTAGCTACAGTTCTTGTAGCAACTACGAAGCCAAAATAGATCTTTAACGGGCCCAAATTTGCAGTGATCATCGGCGGAAACGTTTCTTTACCGAAAGTCACTAATCTTAACTGGAAAGCCCTCAGAAATGAGTAGATGTTTAAAATTTAATTGTGATGTCCACCGTAGCGCGCTGTGTTACACAGGGGTATACGGATAATGGGATCAGTGCGAACCTCTGCGAGAGATGACGCATTGGTATCATATAACGTTTTTATTCGACTTAAATTTTAGCATATTGACACAAGCTTTGCGTTGCAGTATTCGTCAATAACATGGTCATATCATTATTTGGTTAGCTTTCGCTTTAGTCGATTTGGCTGACCAATGCTTCTCATCTTACACAAGCATACTGCGATGGAAACCGATTATCCCCTACCTTTCTTTTCTGGTAATGGGTGACCTCCCTTTGTGCCCAATAAACATTTCCCACTAACCGGAAAAAAAACAGAGAAAGCATATTGTTGAGTAGTTCACTTCTAGAAATTTGTCATAAACAACCACAAGCATCAGAAGGTCATCACCGCTTGGGACGTCACTTACGCCCCTGATACTCCTATACGGAAAATAATGCCTTTGATCGCTTAGAGAATACTAACAGAAAGTTCCTACTTAAAGCCAATAATTGTGACTCGCCCCCTTAGGCCAAAACTTGGTGAATGCAACTGCACGAATCAAACAAATGTGCTTACCAGTTGCCGATGAGAGCGGAATCGGTTAAAACTTGCGGTGCTTTGATAAAAAGAATCCTATCCTGTCGAACTGTGAAACAAATACAGTCGGTTTCATCCCGGATTAGGCGAAACATTCTACGTGGAGCAACGCATGCGCATCGCTGGAGGCTTCGCGAGCGCACAGCGCTGGCATTTTGCCAAGCAAAAACTAAGGATATTGAAGAGACGCAGACATGGGTTCTCAGCACAATAGGATATACTGTAGCTGCGAAACGGCGCGAGCTGTTGCGAGGCGGACTCCCGCCAATCCAATTTCCGCCTAAAGCGGGTCGAAACTTACTGTAGTTCAATCGAGCATTTATAGCGCCCTCACACAAGTCACTGTAAAAGGCCCGCACGTCTTCAGTAGCCTCATCGACTATGGCGTAGAACGCATTCGGCGTATGCCCGCAAAAGGTATTGAAGGCTTCGAATCCGTCAAGCTTTATCTTTCTTGAATAGCGAAACGTAGGTGAAAATGCAGCTGACCTCGAGTATCGTTTGTGAGAAGGATAGTAATTTTTGATCAACTAGTGGAGAAAAAATAGGTGCAAAGAAACTAGGATCTAGGAACCTACTGCGAAAATTCAGAAATTCAAAAGGTAGAACTGTGTTGAAGCGCTAATAGCAGGGAACCTTTCTCCCTCAAGGTTGGGTCGGATTTCGCTGCATACGCGACGTACTCGGCGGACACTGAAAACGTGGCGTACGCAGCGTACGGTGTTAGCAAAGTAATAGCCGGCAAGCGTCTCTAGTCGCCCGTGATAGATGCAGCTCGTTTGGAACTGAAGTTATCCAAATTTTAAGTTTATAGCTTTCCTTCGTATCACTTCTTTCTTTCATACTTATCCAACTAACATGACATGCCACTTCTCTTTTTCTTCCTCAATGTTATGTTTTGGTTCCACGTTTTACAAAGTGCCAATCGTCACTAAAATCTCTGCGTGATAGAACGCGCCGTGATCACTCACAACACCCTGGAAAAATTCTATTACACGTCTGCAAACACGTTTATCAGTACGCTTCTTTTGTCTAACATTGTGAACTGTGAGTGACTATTTTGTCTTCTGAATAATGATATAACTGCTCTTTCCTCTATTTCAGTGAGGGTGTTTTATCAAGTAGAGCCCTTCCTTGCTCTGTTTCTTCTTCACAATGTTCACGCACTGTACAACAAACAGAATTTGTGAATAACATCGTTTTGATCAATCTTCGCTTGTCGTTTGCTGTCATATTCCTGCAACCGTGCACTCAATCAAATCGTAAAAAATTTTTTCTTTTTGAATAATCGAATGGTGTATTCGCAATTATCGTCACTATAGTTTGCCCAATTCCTCTTTAAGTCAAACCTGCAGTTGTCATGATCTTTTGTTGACTGATTATCTTTCCGCCAACTTTACTGGGGCTATCAGAACAGAGAAATCTTAGTTTCTTTTTTTAATCCGAACAATTTGTATTAGGTTGTCCGAAAATTAATGCCCGTTTTGAATTTCAATCGCAGTAAGTCATACACTTTTTATTTCTGTGTATGTTTTAAGGTACCATTCGATAGAGCAAAGCAAGCTCTACAAAATGGCATCTTGATTTTGCAACAGCTCTCATTAGCCTTAAGTTTCGAGCCAAAAACTAAAATGATTGGGTGTGGTGCAAGAGAAACGATAGCTGGCAATAAGGGGCGCGCGGCGGAGGGGTCTGTCAATAGCCTATGCACGCTAGGCGCCTCCCATCCACGGCGGACGAGTTTACAATCAACTACAGTAGCTCGTACGAATCGCATTCGTCCACGTTATCTTTTCGAATCGCATTCGTCCACGTTATTCTAAAGAATCATTAATCAATTGGATCATAGTAATTCTATAATTATCTGATGCTTTGGATCTGGCTGACTTATGGAGATAGTCATGTCATGTGTGAAACATGAATTCTGCCATAATGTGCCAGAAGAAGCACTCTTAACTCCTTCTACAATGAATTATTCCCTACATTCATGATAAATTGTTTATTACATTGTAATGAATGTTCAATACAAATGCATATTTACTGATATTGTAAAATAAAACTATACAAGAGTAGTCCTATGCTATGATAAAATAAATATGGAGAGAAACAATCAATCACATATAAGAAGCAAGATTAAAGAGAAAGAATGAAGGAAGAATAAGGGAGAATAACTCAGATAAGAAAATGATTGCTGCTGCGATGTACTATTGAAGACAAGGACTTGACTGATTAAGTCATGATGGTGTTATCTGGGTCATATTCAACAATTTGGCCTGGTTTATGTGACCTACGGGAGCAGTATGCATCTTCATTCTGTTAAATGGTTCTAGGGAAACAGAGGTCTTTGACAGTGATAAGCACGTCAATATAAAGAACCGGCAAATGAGTAGGCCGCATCAAAATACCGGAATGCTACCCTTTCAACTGAATTTATTGACTTATGCAGCCTTGCTGCAGCAAGCACAGCAGCAAACTTCACGGATTCTTCAGAATTATATCAATGGTAAGTATGGAACCATACAAATCTCGGTTTACATTACATAGTAGATGCACAACCTGACGCTCCATCAGCTCCACCGCAGTCCTCAAGAAGGAAAGAGCAGCAGCAATCCAGAAGCAAAGAAGAGTCCCAGTCATTGAGAAGACAAGAAGAATCGCGGCCACCGAGAAGGCAACCTCATCGACGTTGTGGATTCAACTTAGAAGCGCCAAAGTTCCCTGCACAAGTAGATCGAAGTCAACAAGGAAAACACCCGATCCTGCGCTATGCAATACCAGGTCACTCCTATGACAAAACAACTCTACTGAAGTATTTATTCAAGCATAAACATACTTAGGAAGTCCGTTGTGCTACACATTCCATGATCTTCGCACGAACTCCACCTATGAAGTATACCGATGTACGGGATGCAAATGCATGGGAACAAACACAATGATAGCTGTAGGGGTTACTGTGAAAATGAATGTAAGGTAATTTTCGATAATGCACGAAACGCTTTTGATCGTACTTGGAAGCCTCGATCATGTGCGCGAGTGTAATGGAGGAAAAACTAATTGCTTCTTAGACTTCGTAGTAACAATGGGCCGGAAGGAAGGAAGAAGTGGCTTCTAGAGGTTACTCATGCCTTTGTTAGAGAATTAATGGTAGACGACAGCCAGGAAATTTGGAGAAGAAGAAGTAGAAGAACTTGTAGCGCCTGGTTTGTAAAGCACTATATAAGCACTATAGAATTTGTTGTATGTAAGGGTGGTATCATATAGTTTTGTCTTTAATTGTTACTCGATATCCTTTTACATTCCTCTCCGGGGCCTCCTCTTCGGAGGCCCGTTAGTTACCTTTGTGACCTCTTTGTTCCTACCGACGATCCTTTCACTTCCACCTGGTTTGTCCTTCGCAAATTTCACTATCTGGATTGATATTGTCAATTGCGCAATTTCCTAGGGCGAGAGTGATTTATGTAGTGCGTACGTGTGTGTTCTCTGCTTTGAATAAATGGTTGTTGGGAGACGGCGTAAACTCAGACATAATGGCAACACTTTGGCATGGCTAAGTTCCGATTAGTTATTTATGATGTGTGCTAGCCCGTAACATGAAAAGGCTAAATTCGTAACATTATACCGGCGTGGGGACTTTCTCCGGTCATATAGCGGGAATTGTAAAGTGAAAATTTATGATAATGGGTTAAGGCTGAACGATATAGACTATGGCAGGAATAGAGAACAAATCCAGCCTTACATGGAGGTTCCGGCCTCGAACTTAATTACCCTGTTACAACAGTTGTTTCGTCTGGTTCAGAGTTTTTGATAATTGCAAATATTATATAAGCGCGCCCAAATTTCACAGCGCCAACCATGAATGCTGCACAACTATACTTTTTCTTAACCATCAACCTCCGTGACGAGTCCCCAGAGGACTCGGATGGCCCTGAAGAACGGGCAGCTAGAATGTCCGTAATGCCGGAGAACTACACGGACATTCGGCGCTTCGCCAAATTCTACAGGCTCTCCACCGCCCTAGAATTGCTAACTCGAGCCACCTGGGAGAACTGTCTGCGTATATTATTTCGAGCTGGTGCGAACTGCTTTTTGAGGTGGCTCCGGCTGTTTTTAACGGCACCTGCAGACTATATGTTACGGGCCATACCCATTTTCGGGTTATGGCCCGTCACGCCGGAAATTTCTTTTTCCCCTGTAGACGATGCCCGATGCGCCGGGGAACCCATTGTCTGAGGGACCACCTCAGACAAAGGTTTGGGGCGACGTTAGCGCACCCCGGCGCACCCCTCCTGGACTTCTCACCACCAGGGGTTCGCGGGACGGTTTTAGCCGTCGAGCAGGTCTGGCTGGCGGTTCCCCGCCTCCCCACTCCTGTTCCCCGCAACTTCCTGGTTTGGGAGGATAACGACGATGATTGGGAGCGCTGAAGGAGAAAGCCGCAGTAGCCGCCGACAAGAGGCCACCCCACCCCACAATTAGCTTCCCGAAGACGAATAACATTGTCTCACGCGAATTCGTTTATTGTACCAATTCCATAATAAATTTTCTCTTTATGATGTGTTTGTAATAGAAGTAAAAAAAAGGAATCTAGGAAAATTCTTTATATTACAATAAGGATTTATAACGCACCGATCCTGCTATCAGTACATATTTTTCCTCTGATTAGTATTAGGTTGGAAACTAAGCTTCGCAACTTATTCGATGATTTTCTCTCTCCTAGTATAGCGCACTTAAATTTTGTCATTGTTTAGGTTATGACGTAATCTACAAGAGTAGCTGCTGTTCTGTCGAAATCCGATATTTTAGTGGGGGTTATGGTATAAGAGGAAAATTTGAAAATTGACAGATAGGCCGCTAACGGTTTCATCCCGGCTTCTATCCTGAAAATCCTCAAAACTTATTAGTTTTTGAAGAATACCTGGAACTTTTTTTTAAATTCGTATTTAAAATCCAAGTATTTGTGCGTATTTGTATAGGGGCCTGCAGGATCGCGAGAGTCGGACGTGCGTACGGCCATTGCGCCGCGCACGTCAGATCGGCGTCCGACGACTCGGGTAGGTGCCAGACTTATCTTGTTCAACAGGTTCATTCGGTTCACCACCTTTTCTGTGGATAATGTAGTGATTTAACCCATGAGCCGAACGAACCGGTTGAAGCGGATGAATCTGGCACCTGCCCTAGTGACATCAGACGTGCGCGGCGCAATGGCCGTACGCACGTCCGACTCTCGCGATCCTGCAGGCCCCTATAGCACATATTGCGTTCTATATACCTAAAATTTGAAAGCGTCATAGCTGAAGAGGATGAAGTTGCGAAGGTAGATGCAGAACTTGGTTCCCAGCCTGATGAAATCGAGCTGGTACCTACTTTTTGTGAAATAATAGATATGTTTAATAAGCTAATGGGCAAGTAGATTCTAGCAAAAAACATGGTGAACAAAAGGTGATTACCGTATAAATAAGGTGCCAAAAGTATTGGTTGCGTGAGTATTTGATTTGTCAATATTTGACTCTATCTTCTAGAAAGATCGCACAGAAATGCAGTTACGATGATTATTGTTCCTAAGTGGAAGATATTCCATGATTTGCCGTACTCATCTACACCACAATGTTGCCAGTATATATCCCTGAAAGCATTCCTTTAAAAACTATGTACATCAAGAAATTGCACGCAATAATGTATACGTTTGCTTCACTCAACCGATACGTAGTCATGCTCGTAGCCGTTGAACCAATCACAAGAGCTTGAAAACCGATTCAAATTTGTATTTATTCTCATAGGAAAGGCTTTATGAGAAATTGTTGATTTTACACGGAAAAGTTCTAGGCCTGGTAGTTGTTTATAAATTATCCACGGTAGCTTGCACAGCGCGATAAATTTCAGTGTCGTGTGAGGATGAGAAGACCATGAGAAAGTAGGGCCAGGCGAGCCTCTGCGAAACGGAGGTAGCGCACTGGCATGGTAGTAAAAAAATTTGAAGTCTCCCCTTCCTTTTTTTTTACAGAACAAGCAGTTACTTGAATAGGCGTCGTCGGGATTATTATAAAGGGTTGAATTGCACGCCAAAATTAGATTCATTCAAAAAAAAATGTTTGCCTTTGACGACTAATATCGCATTACTCCCTAGGACCTCCATGCAAATTTGAGCTCCGATACATTTTGTTGGATAGCACCGTCGCTTTGTGATCATCGTCCTTTTTTTCAATATTTCGTTACAGCAAACTGTCGTTGGAGCGTGTAGAAACTCCAAAGGTCAGCGAAAGGCTACTACGGCGGTTGCGTAGAAACCAATCAAGAGAAGAATCACTTGCAAAGAACCAGTCAAAAACAAACATGCCGGAGGACGTGGACGATTCCGAGGAATCTGAGGAGCTGATTCCGAAACAAGTATACCAAGCCTCCGAGATCCTGGGGAGTCGACTAGACAAATTCTCCGGTAACGAGGATAAGACCTTTGAAGAATTTTTGGATGAGTACAAGGACATTGTGAAACGCTTTGCTATTTCTCATGCGGTGGCGAAGAAGCTGCTTCCGCTGTTTCTATCGGGAGGAGCGAAGTTCAAGTACCAGCAGATCCCTAACCACGACAAGATGAAATGGAAAGACCTAGTACTGGAATTGGCTACGAGACTAAAGAACGATTCGCTTCTCAGCAACATTCGCGACGAGCTACATCATATGACTCAAGGAAAAGATACCGTTGGAGAGTTCGCGAAGAAGGTCTACAATAAAACGAAAATCGCATTCCAAGGCCAAGGAGAGAACGTTGTGACACGTATGGCTATTGACTTTTTTGTTAAAGGTCTGAACCCGGAGATCAGGAAGGCGATTAGGAGACTCCCCGACACGGATGAATTTGAGGCCATAGTATGTAGAGCGTAGAATGTAGAGTATGTAGTATGTAGAGCGGAGAAGGAACATCGAATCTTGGAACAAGAGAGAAATGAAGACAGGGAGACTCTTCAAGCGGTCAATGCACTCCTCACTGACGAAAAGATCAACCGTCTCGAACAAGAGTTAAGCCGGATGAAAGCGGCCTCACCAAGGAAACCAAACATCCCGCAGAACAAGTATAGGCAAGGACAAAGAGTGACGAGATTCGCGCCAAGATCTTTTACCAACCAGCGAGGATTTTATCCCAGACGTCCTTTCCTCCGTCAACGTTCATTCCCGTTTACAGACCGCCCACCATATAACAACATAACTACGATGTATAACGGATACGGATCAAGGACGAGGACGTGTACCTGCGGTGCACCCCCATGCTATGCACGGAACGTCCCCCTTGCATATGATAACCCAACATCTATGCAAACAAATACCAGTTCTGCAAGAATCATGAGTACCACCCCAGAAGTACATCTTCTTTGCATCATGACATTGATCTGCACCACTTCTGCAAATGCGGAGTACCAGATATGTGGTATAAACCCTTATTCGAATATCTTTTCACTTCCGAAAGCCATCGATTGCTCAACTCCAGCGAATGCCCCAATGCTGCGGACTACAGCATATTTATTTGCGGACAATCCTAATCCATCCTGGCAAAATGCTACCAAATGCTACAGGGACGCCATTGAAGTATCTGTAAGCAGTTTCTTTCGTATTCGAACAACTACGACCATCCTGCGACGCCGTCGACTATCGATACCGCAGAAAGCCTGTGAAATGGCCCGCATAACTGGCAAGATACATGGGCATGAACTGATCGCACAGGCCGATGGACTATGGACTACCAACGAGATAGAAGATGATGACGTGACAGTACCATTATGGGGCACGAGGAACTACTTACGTAGTGTATACTCGCTCGAAGAAGGACAAATCGTTACTTTCGATGGACACCACATAATTAGCTCCTTGGGCGATACGACAAACTGTTCATACTCACAAGGAGTCTGTCTCTCGCGGGAATATATAATTGTTTGGGAGCCAGTCGCAATCACGCCGTCATGCAGATACAGACATGTTGGAATTTTCGAAGCATTTGTTACCCTGAAGTATATCGTCCTACCTCACCCGGACCTTATCTTCTAGTTCTCCGAAGATAGTCGTCTACACAACCAACTCACCGAATTTTGCCGACTAGGCAACAACTACTTGACGACATCGAACCACATCATTACTTTCCCCTATATTCCCCAGGACCTTACAATCCAAGACTATGTCCTACGCGTCGCTTATAGAAGAGGAAGATCAAAGCGTGCTATTCGGTACCGCGCGGATAAACAAGGAAACACCTACCCCGTCGAGATCGTGGCAGCGGAACCAGTTCTACTCATCAAACGATTATTCAACGTGAAGAAACTCAAGAGACTTCCAGTTTTTAACACACATCCAATAACATGGAACAAAATACTCTCAGAATTGCAACGATGGAACGTCAGTAATAAGGACCTTTCAAGAACAGCACGACTCTACAAGATGGATGACCCGCGCCACATTGTATTACGGACCATCAGATATGGTGAATATCGCATGAAGCAACTACGCTTGTTTAAACAATCGGAGGAAGTTGTGCCACTTAATTACGCACAACTTGAAACCCGACGGGATTTGGAACATGGCATCTCTACAATTTTCGATGAATATCTCAATGAAGAGTTCGGGAAAGCCGAATATAATGTACCCGACCCAACCAACCGAGATTGGAAGCTCACAGCCCCATACTTTAATATCAGTAAGTTAGTGACCACGACAATGACGACACAAGGAGATACACAAAGGACAACCGTAATACCCACTACAGCCGGCATGCAAATGAGGAATTCCACAACATCTGCATTAATATCGACATCGCCAGTGTTGCCATCAACGAAATCATCAACAACAACGACATCAGTGACGATACCGACAACTTTACATACAACAGCACCTTCGACGTCAACAATGGCACTTTTACCAACATCAATCAATACGCCAACGACGACGACAACAACAAAGAGAACCTCAGCAATAACCGACACTTCTCTTACATTGTCAACTATATCCACTACAGAGGTCACAACATCTCGACCAGTAACGACGACAGAAATGGAGGTGTACTATCATACACCTCTGCCTACTCTACAACCAATATACCCTGAATCATCAAGTGCACTCCCTACGACGTCTCCTGCTGCTACAACAATACAACCGCAAACTCCAACATCAACATCCAAACCAGAAGAAATACTGATGAGAACTACAAGATTTGCACCTCTGGTTTGGACCGTTCCTGTGATGAGCGCCGTCTTATCACCAATACTACAAACGACGACAAGGGAGTACCGTGAAGTTTCAACAACAACGAAAACTACAATCTTCACCACAACCCCTTCAACATTCTCTGTGCCTACACAATCCCCGGCAACAGAAAATGTTCCAACAAGGAATTTTGCGGCACGACGTCACTTCAACAACATCTGTGTAAGAAGATTCTTGGAATCACAACGGATACGCCTCTTGAGCTCAGTGGACCCCACATGGGCTGCCAGAATCCTATCAGGAAGAAGTGATATCGCTGCCATTCGGACTGCTGATAATCTGTTGGTTACAAAATGTCGTCAGGTCACGCCAACATTCATCTATGTCAATCACACGATCAATGGAATATGCTATACCTTGATGCCAGTAAGGATCAACAATGATCTTTGGTTCAACGTACCCGGAACACAGGATTTAATACAATCTTCCGGTACGGTTCCATGTCCCTACCCATCTCCTAAACGTGCCAACATGACGCGAAGCCTCTTACTGCCGAACACCGTCGTTAATAATCACGCAAAACCCTTCCTCTTCGATAGTCCACCTACATTTTATCGCATCCTCGACAACTACGCACTATCAGCTATCCCGTACATGGAAGTGCTGAAGGAGGAACAAATGGGCATGACTGTACGACTTCAGAAGCGAGGAATTATTGAGGAAACTGTTTCACGGATACGTAATACCAGTATGTCCGTAGGTCAGTCCCTGCTGTCGCTTTATGAGTCGACGACGCAAAAGCTGTCGGAAGGCGTGGAAGATATCAAATGGTCAATTTTATATACGATACTATGGATTGCCATACCAGCAACAGTTATCTTCCTTTGCGTAGCAGCTTGTGTGATCTATGCAAAGCTTTTCTTCCTCAGACGAGCAACATCAACTGCTGCATCAGCCATGTTCAGTATGGCAAGGAATTTCGCCCCTAAACGGAGAAATCGAAGACCACGTGCAGTAAACATGTTAATGGTAGAACTACCACAGGAAGAGGACGAACAGGAGCAACTTTTCGTACCACGCATTTATGCAATCGAGGTGGAATCACGAAAGTTACATCTACCCTATTTGGAAGTCAAGATCGGAGACAATTCTGTGACGGCTTTATTGGATAGCGGTGCAGCCATATCGTATATGAGGATGTCTACATTATCAATGATAGAAGATTTGGAGCGGCTTATGAGAACGTCAAAGATGGCGGCAACTGCAAATGGCACCACGATACAATTAGTGGGCTCACTCTCCTTGCCTGTTCGAGTAGGAACACATACCATCATGCATTGTTTTTATGTATCAGACGAGAAGGACTGCCCATCCCCACTTCTGTTAGGATCCGGACTTCATCCAGGCATTAAATGCAAACGGGCTCCTGGTCTCTCTCGACCTCTATAACAATATTATACGTATAGGTCCAGAGACAATCAATCTCGTACCACTCAGCTATATCACTTTGGCCGTCATACCCATACCCTGTGCGACTCGCTAGGGACGCGTTTTTACCTCCACGAACCAGCAACCTCGTGGAAGCCTACATCGAAGGACTAACATGGCCCAGATGTAAAGATTTCTACATTGAGGATAATCTCCGACCAATGGACGATATTTTCGTTATTGGACGAGCCCTTGTTACACCAGGCTTAGACGGAGTTTGCTATATCAATATTCTCAATCCCTCCATGACTAACATCCTACTTCCCAAGCAACTTAAAGTGGCCTGGGCGCACCCAGCGTGTGAATCGGAAGTTTTAGTTAAACCGCTGGAATGTCCACAAGTCCAACACCCAATGGAGTCATCAGAAGACAATGCTAATCAGCCAGTCGTTACCACTGTCGCATACGTCAATGAACTGCCTTTGAATGAGTATGGTGGTTATGAGCATACTTCGCCAGAAGCAGACTGGGAGTCCAGATTGCCTAGATTCCCTACTATACCAAATCCTCCTGATTATGATATCACCAAGGAAATCGACCTGTCGCAATCGAGTTTGACAGATGATCAGAAAGATCAATTACGAGACATCATTGGATGTCATACCAACGCTTTTGTAGGACCGGACGGACATCTTGGACATTATAGAGGAAAGATACGGCACCGAATTGATCTTATCGAAAACGCTACTATACCAGCAAGGAAGATTTAACGCGTGCCTCTCGAAAAACGACAGGAGATCGAGAAACAGATAACGCAGATGTTGGAAGACGGTATAATCAGGGAATCATCATCACCGTTTTGTGCTTCAATTGTTTTGGTGAAGAAGCGACAAGCAAATGCTTGGAGATTTAATCGATTTTCGGGGATTAATGCTATCACGAAGCCTCAGCAATCAATTCTGCCGAATACTCAGGACATTATCGATTTGTGCGCTAATCAGTGTTTTTATTCGTCCCTTGATTTCCAGCAAGGTTTTCATCAAATACCACTGGAAGAGGAACACTGTGAGAGAACTGCATTCGCATGTTTCCTGGGAGCATTCGAGTACATCCGGATGCCAATGGGACTCAAAGGAGCACCGGCCACGTTCCAGAGGATAATGGACGACTTCAAGAAATATATAAGAGCAAGATCTATCTTCATTTATATCGATGACCTTATTATAACCTCTGAAACCCCAGAAGAACATTTGGCGGATATCGACGAAGTGCTTGGTAAGATCGAAATAATTGGCATGAAGCTGAAGGCGTCGAAATGTGAATTCGCAAAGGAAGAGATCAAGTTTCTGGGATTTATTCTAAGCAAAGAAGGAATAAGGTCCAACCCGGACAAAACCAAAGCCATCGACAACTACCCGCAGCCAACCAATCCAACAGACGTCAAATCCTTTTTAGGGATGTGCTCGTTTTTCCGGAGATTTGTGCACAACTTCGCAGCCATTGCCGCACCACTCATTGCATTGACAAAGAAGAACGCCCCTTTCGAGTGGACACCGCAGTGCGAGGACGCTATGAATCGTCTGAAGAAAGCATTGACATCTGCACCCATTCTTGCAGCACCACGACTGGGGAAGCCTTTCATCATAGAAACGGATAGTTCGGCGAAAGGTATTGCGGGAGTTCTTAAACAGGAACAGGAAGGTCTAGAGCGAGTTATCGCCTATGCAAGCCGTACTTTGAGCAAACACGAAGCAAGATATCCAGCAATCGAGCTTGAAGCACTAGGATTAGTCTTCGCAGTACAAAAGTTCCGACCATATATCGATGGAGCGAAGTGCACGATCATCACGGACCATGCACCTCTCAAAGCGTTGCTGCATCGGAAGGATCTTACCGGAAGGCTAGCTAAGTATCAAATCGTGCTTCAGGAGTTCGATGTTACCATTATATACCGGCCCGGGAAGAAGAACGCTGTTTGTGATGCGCTATCTCGACATCTCCCAATGAATGCCATCACGAATGTCATCATAGACAACCTTCAGTTGGATGCAGTACGCAAGGAGCAAGACGAGTGTGAATGGATTGCAAGATTGAAGGCAATGCTAGCAAACAACGAGGAGACGACGGAATTATCTAACTATCTTCTTATAAACAACATCCTCTATAGGCTACCAAATCGCCTCTATCAAGATCCACAGCTAGTATTACCGGAAACATCTCGCGTCAAACAAGACATTATCGCTCTGGCACATCAATCACAAATGGCGTCAGCACACTTGGGAATCAACAAGACACATGCAGCTGTCGAGAAGATCGCTATCTGGAATTGCATGCGGAAGGATATCGCACGATTCATCGGCGCATGCCAATCCTGCCAAGCAAGGAAGGATCCTACGGCTTATAAGACAAGAGAATCACTCCACTTCCTAGAAGTATCCACGAGACCTGGCAACGAGTACACTCTGATATAATCGGCCCCCTGCCGCTGACGTTGGATGGGAATAAGTATATAATTGTCTTTATAGACTCGTTTTCCAAGTATATAGTAGCGGAACCAATACCTGATCAGAAGGCCGACACTACAGCTCGCACATTTATTGCTCGTTTCCTAGGCAGATTTGGACTACCGGAAACTCTTGTGACGGACCAAGGAACAAACTACATGAGCGAAATGTTTCGCAGCCTTTTGCGTAGTCTACATGTCAACCACCACACAAGTACACCGTATCACCATCAGTCAAATGGGCGAGTCGAACGCGTCAATCGGACATTGGAGGAACAGATCGCGATAGCCACTCGCCAACGTAATGATGAATGGAACCATGCTCTCCACCTCATAGTACATGCCTGTAATAGTGCGGAGAATGCGTCGACAAAATTTTCACCCTTCTTCCTCATTCACGGACGAGAACCTACTAATATTCTCCACCTTGCGCTGCAGCTGCCAACAAAGAAGTATGCCGATTCCGACGATTATGTAAACCATCTCACCAATACCTTGAGAATCATCTACCAACAAGTCTATGGAAACCTCGTGGAAGCTCAGAAACGACAAAAACATCATTACGACTTGAGGAAGAAGCCGCTGAAAACGGACTATCAAATTGGGAAGAAGATTTGGATAAGGAAGGACGGCGTGCACAAGCTTGCAACAAAATTCGAAGGACCCTTTCCAATCATCGACATCGAACTACCCAACATTACCATCCTTGATGAAAAACGCAAAAGAGTCATCCATGTCGACCGTACCAAACTACATAGAGATATGGACAATAGCGAAGAAGTCACCAAATAAGGAAGAAAAGAGGAAAATAAGGAAAAGACAAAATCCCAACAACCATTGAATTTTCTTGTGATAGTCTGTTGTGTTTGTATTATCATATAATTTTCACTCTTGATGAATTTTATTGTAGTAGTACTTTCTTTTCCCAGATCCCCTCTAGGATGAGTTATCGATTAAGAAGGACATATGGATAATACGAAATACAAGTCAATAAAATACAAACCTTTATCTGGTTTCGAGGAAGACATGGAAATCGAGAACAAACGGCAGCTTCCCCAATTCACTTGCCATGAAGACGTCCATGACAAGAATTTCTCGGCATTAACAAGGAACAAACGCGATTATCGGATCCTTAGTTATATGAACAGCAGTTATTCAGTGGATTCTACATTATTTCCAGAAAGCGGCCGGCAGAAGTTATGGAATTACGAAAACCGCGGTCATCTATAACAAGAAAATGGTTGCGCGATGTACCCATGAGTGCGGATGTTAAGGAAACCCACAAGAGGCAAATGGCACTTGAATTCCAAATCGGAGAAGAAGAATCGCGTCGAAGATACCCGGCTGCGCAACCATTCCATTTGACCTCGCGACGCGAGTCCGCACAAGACGCTGTATGGTTATAGATGGAGATATTGGATGACACGAATGCCCGGACAAATAGAAATTAGACGTACGATATTCGTGAGAGAAAATAGCCGAGGGAAGACAAGGCCGGAAGTAAATGTTCAGGAGTTCTTCAATTGATGCTTGCGGAGCCAAGATATTCTACTGATGATAAGGACGGAGGTTGCGGGACGCAACCTTTCAGTACCCCGCGGATGTAAGGTAATTTTCGATAATGCACGAAGCGCTTTTGATCGTACTTGAAAGCTTCGATCATGTGCGCGAGTGTAATGGAGGAAAAACTAATTGCTTCTTAGACTTCGTAGTAACAATGGGCCGGAAGGAAGGAAGAAGTGGCTTCTAGAGGTTACTCATGCCTTCGTTAGAGAATTAATGGTAGACGACAGTCTGGAAATTTGGAGAAGAAGAAGTAAAAGAACTTGTAGCGCCTGGTTTGTAAAGCACTATATAAGCACTATAGAATTTGTTGTATGTGAGGGTGGTATCATATAGTTTTGTCTTTAATTGTTACTCGATATCCTTTTACATTCCTCTCCGGGGCCTCCTCTTCGAAGGCCCGTTAGTTACCTTTGTGACCTCTTTGTTTCTACCGACGATCCTTTCACTTCCACCTGGTTTGTCCTTCGCAAATTTCACTATCTGGATTGATCTTGTCAATTGCGGAATTTCCTAGGGCGAGAGTGATTTATGTAGTGCGTACGTGTGTGTTCTCTGCGTATGAATAAATGGTTGTTGGGAGACGGCGTAAACTCAGACATAATGGCAACACTTTGGCATGGCTAAGTTCCAATTAGTTATTTATGATGTGTGCTAGCCCGTAACATAAAAAAGACTAAATTCGCAACATTATACCGGCATGGGGACTTTCTCCGGTCATATAGCGGGAATTGTAAAGTGAAAATTTATGATATTGGGTTAAGGCTGAACGATATAGACTATGGCAGGAATAGAGACCCTGCCATGCGCGACATAACAAATCCAGCCTTACATGAAGATGTACATTGATATTAATGTCAAGGCGATCAACAACGAGTTTCTGGGAGATCCATCTGCCTTGTCGCACGACTGCCTACCCGCGAAGATCGCACAGGATAAAGTGGAAAGACTGTTGTATAAGGAGTGCGAAAACATCAGAAAGGACAAGAGACGTGTGGGGACAACAACGCGAAAGGCATGGCAAGAAATAGAGAATCACATAGAAGAAAACGAGGGCGAGAACGAGACGCAGAAGCTCGACATGCTTCACTACTTCCACAGAGATGGTTACGAGTCAAGGCGCAGCACCATAAAAAGGTATTAATAGAATCATGATAATAAAGATAGAAAGAAGCTTTAGGGCCATTAAAAGCCTAGACAATAAAAGCTGCACTATGGATCACGTACCTCGCATTTACTCCCACTTCTCCGATGGCGAAAGATTCCTGCAGTTCCAGACTCCAGATCTGCATATGTATTACTCAACCGCAACCATCGAAGTAGGCTACTAAACAACTTTGTGATACCCCTAGCAAATATGATTGTAGAAGGCGCAGAGGTTTGGGCTGTACGCACTTGTAGCGGACGGCGTGCACGATCTCCAGCCCGATGCAACAGCCAAGTGTGGACAGCTCTACACTGTGCACGGAGTATGCAACGACACCATGGACGCTCCCCTCCTGTATGCCATCACCACTACCAAGAACGAGAGGACATACGAGTTGATATTCGCTCAACTGAAAGAAGAACTGCAGAGATCAGGCCGCTTGGATAGATTGCGCGTGGTATTGGACTTCGAAAGAGCTTCGATAGGTGCAGCTCGAAAAGTATTTCCCTTTGCTTCCGTCGAAGCACTTCACAGAAGAGTCCCATCATTGTATCGGCCTGACTTACCAAGGAATAATGAAGCATATCAAATATGCGAGGAGTTCTTGCGCTACCTGAAGTCTACATGGTATGAGGGACCTTTTAAGGGAATGTGGAATAAGTGGGGCATCAAGGATACGCGAACGACAAACGCAGCTGAAGCGTTCCACAGGTGTGATGGATGAATGGTGAAGTGAGGGAATGAGTACACGTTTTCAGGAACTTAGGCACGCTGCTAGAATGCAAGTACCCCCTTATGTCAAGGCTGCTTGAAGAACTGAAGAGTTGCAATAATAACGCTAAAGGAGATTTTCTCAATATGGAAAGAGTGAGTTGCATTTGCAGCTTAAACTCAGCGAAACACTGAGCAATGTTTCAGCGACCCACGGATGGAAGACGGTTGAGGCGGAGGGATTTGAGAAGGCGTGAGAAGATACTCAAGATGATGGCGGCGTACAGAAGCAGATTCGAAAGAAGAAACACAATCAGAACGAGCACAAACCAGATCATGAAGTACTGCAGAAAGATGGCAACGTTTGTAACAAGCAAAATCAATTGAACAAACAATATAGCAAAGATAGCATCTTTCTGCAGTAATTCATAAACATGATGTTTGTCACTCTTGTAAATAATCCCTATTACTCGATATTTTTGATTTGCACAAGCACTTTTCTTAATAAAAAGTATTCATTAACAACAACATCACTATACATAAGCATAGAAATACAATCAAACAAAAAAAAACAACCGTTTCGTTCCTACCCTTAGACGGTTACGATGTAAGGATAAGGAACAGCCCTCCCCGGAACTCATCAGTAAGGAGGGAGGGCTATAGAAATAAGAAATCATAAATAATAACAAAAACGAAACATACATGCAAAGAAAATAAACACATCAAAAGAACTCACCATATCACTGAATGCTGGTGTCGGTCAGAGATAGTTCCTAAATGCAGAATAATAACTTTACATACACGAATTGTATCAGATAATAATGAAAAAAGAACATAAGGAACAAAAAGAAATGACAATGAACAATAACAAACAAAAGAACAGCAATTACTCACCATTGTGGCAGGATTGGAGGCTGTTGGTGGATATCGATCCTAAAAATCAACAATATCGGAGTGATGTGAACAAAAGGCGATATCGCACACATATCCACGAACAACACGTCAAATATTATAAAGGTAGAAAGCATGTAAGGGAAGACAATTACGATGAAGAACATAAGAAAAAACAAAAAACACAGCAAATATGAGAAAATAGTAAAATACTATGAATGTGGGCGTTGAATGAGACTGAAGTAGGCCCGCTCATTTTCGAAAATCTCCGTAGCAGCGTCCTTTAACACACGCAACGCTCAACCCATGCGTGCGTACGGGTTCTCGCGTGTGGGCGGGGCTTCGTGCGCGCTGTGGCGGCTGGCAACTACCAGCTGGCGCGGGCTATCGTTTCTCTTGCCCGCCACCCAAAATGATTCAGCCTGCACGAAAAACTGAGAAAAATTGTAAATCAAATTCTAACTTGTTCACGTAAACACTATCCACATAAGACATCTATATACGCCGTTGCCGTCTTTTTCCACCTTCTGAAAATCAAGAAAACGGAAATTTTCGTACATTTTCCAAGGTGATGCTGTGCTGTCCCCACATGCGTAGTTATGAACCTGCTACAGACCTGTAGCAGTACAAACGTAATTTTTTAGATTTCTACGAGCTTTGGTTCTTGAGAAATATCGAATATGGCTTTCCTTAGTTAGGTGATCCAAACCAAAATTCAAATTTCTCAAGAATTAAAGCTTTTAGAGAGCTGAAAATTTACGTTTATACTTCTATATGTTTGTAGTGCGAAATCACGCATGTGGGGACTGCACAGAATCACTTATGAAAGTGCAGGAGAGTTTCCGTTTTTTTGATTTCCAAAAGATGAAAAAAGACCGCAACGGACGGCGTGTATAGATGTCTTGTGTGGATAATGTTTACGTGAGCAAATTAGAATTCTTGTAGGATTTTTATAAACTGAGTTACGATTTTTCTCAATTTTTCGTGCAGCTGAATCATTTTAGTTTTTGGCTCGAAACTCAAAATTAATGGGAGCTATTGCAAAAACAAAATCGCCATTCTGTAGAGCTTGCTCTGCTCTATGAATGGTACCTTAAAACCTGTTCAAGAATAAGAAGTGTATGACTTACTGCGACTGAAATTCAAAACGGACATTAATTTCCGGACAACATAATACATTGTATCTGCTCAACCTTTATGACATATTAGCTGGCTTACCCGGCTCCGCCCGCCCCTGTCAAAAACGATAAAGGTTCCATTTGCATCCCTGTACACCCTTACCTGTGCCCACTTCTACATGCGATTCCCTATTCCCGCTGTGTTAGTAATCAGTATGCTCACCTACCTTCCTCAAAAACCCCCCAGCCTCGTAGCTCAAACTTTGGAAAAAAAACAACAACAATAATGTCGATAAAAGTAAGAATAATTCTAAAAATCGATGAGTTATTAGGCTATCCGGGACCTAAAATGTTTTTGTGGTGGGTCTTGCTCAAACTCGGTATATGGGGGTTACTCAAGCCGCTGATGACGAATATCGTAGTCATTTCCTGGCTGCGGGTAAAAATCATGAACCTGCCTGACCTTGGCAGGGAATTACCTAAAGTGCTGTGTCAAGAATATCGTACTCAATCAATCCCCACGATAATGGCAATTCATGTGGTATAAAAGTTTCCCACGACCGTACTGCTTTCCTCATAGGACCACTGCCGCGCGCGATACACTCTTCGGCGGTTTTTGCCTAAGCGAAAACAGGGGGAGGGAGATTAGCCGCATGCGCTACACGTTGAGATAGGTTATCAGGATGGCGCTGGAGACCGCCGTGCAAAACAACCTTTCCCCATTTCGTGAATATCTGGGATCTAAATTGGCCCCAAAGCGAAAAAATGTCCATTTTCAAACCCTGCAACTTACCATAACTTCACTAATGCATTATTACAGCGAGCAAGCATCATATTTATAAGCATTATACTTGTGAACCGTTACAGGTAAGTTTTTGAGGAAATCTGAAACCTCGACCCATCTACACCCACCGTAACCCAAGAAAATGCACTATTCTGCGAAATCAGCATGATATTCAGCGCGCTAAATGACCACTCTAGACAAAGTTTAAAGCAAATCTGTGTTTTCGACCCCATACCGTATAACCACCATAACTCTATGAAAAGGTCCCAATATGCAGAGAGAGCATGAAATTCGTAATCAGCAGGTCAAATAAGTTCTCTGGACCGATCTCCGGCCGAATTCATGATTTTGGCTTCCTACCGTACATCTACCGTAACCACACGGGGTGACGTTCTGCGGAGAAATGTGATATCTGTAATCAGCATGTGAAATGACTCTTATAACAAAGTTTGAGCAAGCAAAAAAAATTTTGGGGCCCGGATAGCCGAATAGCGCCAAACTGATATTGTACTCGTAATCAGCATGCTCGAATACCCCCCTGCGCCAACTCCCAGCCTCGTAGCTCAAACTTTGCAAGAAATCGATAAAATTGATAAAAGTAATGAACAATTCTGAAAACTAATATTGTATTCGCAATCAGCATGCTCGATTACCCCCCCCCCTATACAAACTTCCAGCCCCGCAGGTCAAACTTTACAAAAAAAATGGATAAAATCGATAAAAGTAATCGATAATTCTGAAAACCAATATTGTATTCGGAATCCCTATGCTCACTTACCCCCCTGTGCCAACTCTCAGCGTAGGTGAACTCTGCAAGAAAATCGATGAAAATCGATAAAATCGATATCGACCGATGACGAAAAGTAGCCTATGACACCCGCCGCGGCCCGAAGTGTATGTGTGCCAAGTTTGATCCGGATCGGTTCAAAAATAGAATTTTCTATTCGGAACATACGTACAGACGGACAGACAGACAGACATACAGACAAACAGACATTCAGCTATATTTTAGGTTGGCCCGAAAGTTCTTTCGCATCAAATTCAAAAATTCATAACTTCTGATTTTTCCAACCAATTGGACTGCTTTTACTTACTAATGATCATCTGTTGCATAGATAGGAGCGATAGAAGAAAATTGGTCAAAATTCGAATTTTTCGTGTACGGTCATAAAAAATCGGCTTGCAACAAAAATCGGAGCAGTCGGTATTATAGGTTCTGTTACCTGCTCTTTCTAACTTTGCAAAGTTTGCGCTGATTGAGCGTCTCTATAAAAAGTTATGATTTTCGAGCAAGCAATGGAAAAGGGCGAATTTGATTTATTTTGGCATTTTTCAGGAAAATCGTTACTTTTCATGGAGACGCTCAAGCAGCGCAAACTTTGCACTGTTAGAAAGAGCAGGTAACAGAACCTATAAAACTGGCTGCTCCGATTTTTGTTGCAAGTTTCCGATTTTTTATGACCCTACACGAAAAATCCGAATATTGACCAAATTTCTTCTATCGCTCCTATCTATGCAACAGATGATCATTAGTAAGACCTTAGGATGTCTTTATTAAGGGCATGTCTTACTCTCTCATACAAAAATAAAAGTGATCAAATCGGTTAGAAAAATCGGACGTTATGAATTTTTAAATTTGGTGCGAATGAACTTTCGGGCCAACCTAATATTAGGTTGTCCCGAAAGTTTTGTCCGTTTTTTCAACCTATCATAAAAATATGTGGAACAAAGATAGGGAAACGCTCCAAGCACGCCCCGACGCATCTTTTCCTCCTCTTTCTAACCGTCAAGACCGCATGCCGATTACTCTTTCGCTCACTGAGATAAGCGCCGAAATTTCGAACCCATGGTTTTTATCATGTCCAAGTTTGACAATTTTTCACAATCTTCATTTTCAACTTTTGGAGGAACCTTGATAGCCCTCAGATAAAGTAAGCAAAGGGCAATCCAATGCCCCGTAGCTCAAACTTTGCAAAAAAATCGACAAAAATCGATAAAATTGATATCGATCGATGACGAAGAGTAGCCTATGACACCCGCCTGGGCCCGAAGTGTATGTGTGCCAAGTTTGGTCCGGATCGGTTCAGAAATGGAATTTTCTATTCGGAACATACGTACAAATCGATAGCCTAAACCTTTAGATTCCACAGGACTGTTTGTAGCCTGATTCGTCTTCTTAGCTCTGAGTGATATTTGGTGAAAGCACAGCCATTGAAAGCGAAAAATGGGAAAAATGAGATTTTGGTTGGCTTCTAATTCCACAGTTTGGAGGTCTTTTGAAGCGGGATTTCTGAGGTGGACAAAGGAGGAGTAGTGCTTTGCTTTGAGTGCAAAAACGAATAGCTAATTCACCTTTGAAACAAAGTTAACCATGCTGGAATTTGACCATTTCACTTAGGCAGCCTAGTATCTTGAATCTTCAGAATTCGCTCACACTTTGTCTACAGGGGTTATTTGACATGCTAATCATGGATAGGATACGAATATCATGTTATCACTATTATCAGATTACCCAACTACGACCCCCTCCCCTTTGACTCCTCAATACGACCCCCCAGGTGTGGCGTGCCGCAGCCCACGCTTGACCCTGGTTG